AAACAGCCTTCGTTGTTCACTGATATACATACCCTTTTAACTTATTTACTTGCTTTATGAAAATAAACAAAAGAGCAAATGACTTCTCTACACCCTTCTGATAGGTAGAATGCAGATATTATAAAATTGGAAGGATAAGCACTGACTTTCTATAAACTAATGGATTGAGGATTTTACTGTACCTTGGAATGCTGCCTTCACATGGGTACCTATTTGGCTCACTTCGGTTGAGGCCTGTACCATTGATGGGAAGCATTATGGATTTTGTGCAAATCCATGACCATACATTAGAAATGAGAAGTTAAATGATAAAAAATTGCAACCTGCTGTATACAGTTGGTAGAATTCCCTGCTCAGACACCAGTTTCAAAGCAAGTTCTCTGTTTGCTGCCAGCTGTTATGATTCTGAAAAGACCATCCGAGGTTATTTTTCCTATTACGATAAGAGTGTTTATCTATTCAGTATATTTGTAATGCTGAATTACTGTTGAGCTTGTGGTGTTTACAGTGGTTGTTCATTGTTCTTAACAGAATGCATATTCTGTGCTTTGTTAGCAGTACCAACCTGGATGTTTCTTAGCTGTTTCAGTACCTGCATCAACTCTTAGATTATTAAACTATGATAAAAAGCAAAAAAACATGGACACTCTGAATAGGTTGCTCCTTTTTAAGTAGAAGTGCTGATGGGTTTTTCTTTGATTCTGCTGTGGGACTATATTCTACCTTTTGCTAACTAGCAGCTGCACAATGAAGATTTTATCTTGCATGCATTTTTACTTTACACGCAATTTAGAAGCTGGTGTGCTCTTTTAACTCTGGAGAGAATTATTACCATTTAGAAGGTCACCATGAGGAAACAAACATTGTGTGTCCACTTGAAATAGTTGAACAGAACAAAATGAAATTTGGAGGCAGCTGATAAGATTCAAACATATTGTTGTTCAGGCCTATTATAGCCGCATTTATGGGTAGAGAGAAGTTTGTGGAGTCAGAAACCACAATATTTTGACCATTTGGATGCTACAATAATGAAAGCAAAATGTAACATTATTCATAGATGTGTCCTTCGGTTACAACTTAAATTTGTTTGGTAACTTGAACCAGAATACAATAGAATCATGTGAAACACATAGGGAAGAGAAGAAATAGGTAGAAAGACCAGCAAAGAATAGTCTTGAAAGGCTTCCTAAAATAGCTTAAATGAGTTTACTTGAGAGTTAACCTTAATAACCTTTCAGGAATAATTACTGCTTTTAACAAAACTGGTATTTCGTATATGAGACATCTTACTGACATTTTTCAAATACATTAAGTTTTCTTTTTTCTTTTGACACATGCAATGTATACATTTAATGCAAGCTTTTAGGTGAAATGAAGTAATATATTGAAAAAAAATTACCCAAGAAGAAATGGAAACTCCAGAACAGGGCAAAAGTATTGCCATATGGTTTTTTTAATAGCTCAGACCCAAAGGGTAAAGTCTGTGTGGGAACCCATTTAAAATGATTAGCTGTCTTCCAAAACATGATAGAATAAAACCCAGGAGAAACAAGATTTTGATGCTGTGGTTAGGTTCCGGTACACTTTTTCTAATCTCTTTTTTTTCTCCTGATAAATCATGGTGTTTTGCTTTCTTTCCAAATTGTGTACCTTTTGGAACTAACAGTGGGGGAGAGAATTACAGTCATGTCAAGTTTTGATGATCTTAATCTGTGACGTTCCATGTGGGTGAAATGCCCTTGGCTGAGCAAGCACTGAGCATTCCTCCAGCCCAGGACTCGGTCTGGAAAACTTTGCTCAGGCAGTGGCAGGCCCCCCTGAGGAAGGTGGGGCGCAGGCAGTGTCTCTGGATGACCCCGTGAGTGGAGCATTTCTTCAGCTGGCCGCTCCACCGTGTGCCGGCATCCCCTGTTCCGACACGCACTGCAGCTGGGTATACAGCCACGCACCAGCCTGGAATGAGATCACAACAGGAAGAGTTGGCCCTGACTTCAGAGGGACGTCAGAGAGTTGGGGGGCGTGCGGTTGCCTGACCTGACCCCACTACCCCCACTGAGTTGCCGGACTTAGTGGGGCGCGGCAGCTATTAATTTCTTAGCATATTTTAGAATAGGCTTACTCCCAGTGGTGAAATCGGAGCAAACCAAAAGCCCTTTAAATCTACTGATTTCTCGGGGTGGGAGCTTAGGAGCCCAAGGGCTCACTGGATGCCCCTAGGATGCCCCATTCGAGTCTTTAAATTTGGGCATAACAGCTTGGGGCAATTAGGAGCAGGAGAGTGTGGGGATGCCTCTGGCAATGACAGCTGGATTACGTCTACTACATTTATTGCCTGGTTCCAGTCTCAGAGCCAGGCTTTCTTCCCTAATGTTGCAACCTTTGCCTTTATGTTTATTTTTATGAGATTCCTTGGATTTGGTTGCAGTTAATGGAAATAACCCATTTCCTATCTGCTCCGGTAATGCTGATGCACAATCTAAAGTATTAAATGTGTTGGCGATCCAGAAACTTTCAGTTTATGGAAACTTCCATCATTTTCTTGGTCATCGGTTACTGTGTATTGTACAGCTGTGCTTACATGTCCTCAGCCATTTGCTTACTCACTTCCTTAGTCAGAAAGGTTATTATAGGACATCAGCGATAGCGTGCCTTTTCCTACAGGAAGTACATGGCAAATCTGCGAGTGCTGCTTTCTAATACTCTGCAGCCTAACACTGCTCTCAATGGTATGACGCCTTTCTAGAGGGAACCTGCACATGGAGCTGTTTTTTGCCGATGCAGGAAATGTAACAGTGCTGTCCTTTCAAATGGTACTGTTGCTCTATGCTTCTGTGTTCCCCCATCACCTGTGTATACATTTTATCTTGGCCATTTCCAGAAATAGTTATTTTAGACGTGGTTTCAAAATGTTATCACTTGTTTTGAAACCAAGTCCTTTAGCGCTAAGGGGGTAAAGAATTCGAGGGTAGGGTGGGGGTGAAATCCTATGCCTGAACACCCTGTTAGCTACCTGCAGAGGCACTCTGTGCTCCAAAACTAAGTTAGAGAACTGCACCTCATTCTTAAGCAGTTCAGTCACATAAAATAGACCATTACACACAGATAATTGGAGTAAATTGGAGTAAAGAGGCTCAACTTCTGAGCAAGCATGCCTGGGAGTGTGCTATTACTGAATTTTGGGCAGAAAGCAGATTTGAAGTAAATGAGCGTCTCATTGCCCCAAGCATCTGCAGAGTGCCTCCATCTGTCGGGGCTGAACCTGACCCAAGCCCAGTTGGTTGGTCCTTTTCCGTACAGTGACGGATCTCTCTGCCTTGTTCCAGATACTTCCTTCTTTCCCGGAAAAGTGTGTTCCTTCATTCACTCTCCTCCTGAAGACCAGCTCCTCCTTTTCCATTCTAATGCCGGTAGTCTGACAACTCTTCTCCCCCCCTCCCATTTTCTATCTTCCTCTTCTAATTCTCTGCTCCTTCCTCCAGGGGATCCTGATTCCAAGGCTCCTGCAGCTGCTTGCATGGGCAGATCTTCCATGGCTCAGGGTTGCTAGGAAGCCAAGCAGCCTGTGGCCTCAGACTGGGCAGGGAAAGGAATTTGCACACAGGAAATTGGCGGTGGCAGAGTTAGACTATTTTTCAGTGAATAACCACGGAATTTCTTTTAAAACCTGCATTCCTGCACAGTTACCTAATTGGTTTAGAAAAGATTAAAAGAGTGTCCGGTGATGGCACTGTGACCTGACTTCTTACTTTTCTGGTGATTGCCATACTATATACTGTGGGGTTATACTGTAGTATGATGATGAAGCACACTCAGCCCTTTGGATCCTTCTTGTCTTGCTCTTACAGTGCCATGTATTGGTGTGCGGCACAGGATCATTTTATGACGAGGTGAATACTGTGCTGCCTTTATTAATGTATGCCCGGCAATTGTACTTGAGAAAAAGGCCCTGCTTACCTCAGCATGATTATGGCATAACAAAAGAATGGCAGTTTTGGAAAGGAATAATTCCCCACCATCACTACCACCACCGCATTGTTTTAGCAGTGAATAAAGATGGCTTTTACAATACAAGCCTCTAGTAGGATATTTCCCCACATCTTCCTATTGTACTACCTCAAGTCCCAAAAGTTGATGTTTATGAACTACTTTGCCAGCAACATTAATAAACAAATATAGCTCAAATATCGTTTTCCCCTGTAGAATGCTCTGTTTATGGAAGTCATGTCTTTGGTAGAAGCGTGAATCCACGGTCTGTATAAATTCAGATCAAAATATATTATGTTCCTTAAGGATGGCTCGCACCAAATCTCGATCAGAGCTCTGCACTGCAGTCGTACACATTAGCAAGCACAGAAGCGAAACTTAAGGACATCTTAAGTACTTCATGCACTGAATTAAAGCTAAATAAATAATTGCTTTGGTTGTGAGTATACTGAAAACTTTTAACAATGTGGTTTTGCTATATGCTGTGAGGTCATCTCTGACAGATGGTGACCCAATGAATGACTTCCCTCAAGAAGGACCTCTCCTTGAAAGCCCTGTCCAGCTCTCATAAACACAAGGCTGTGATTTCCACACAGCTCACCTGCCCATTCTAAACACATTCCAACCATCAAAATGTTAGCAGGACATCTCATTTTTCTAACCCTGACCCTAGCCTGGTGCTCCACCCTAACCCTTATATATGGGTAAAATACCATTGAAAAGAGGGCGAATTTGAAAAAGCCTTCCTTGAGTAGCTTTTTCTGCACAGCTCAACATTTCTGCCCATTCTAAACAAGTTCCAACCATCAAAATCATGCCAGGACACCTCGTTTTTCTAACCCTAACCCTACCCAAGGACACACCCTAACCCTAATATAGGGCTACAGTTCCATTGAAAATAATGAGATTTTAAAATGCCTTCCCTGAGTAGCTTTTTCTGCACAGCTCATTATTTCTGCATATTCTAAACACATTCCCACCATCAAAATCATGCCAGGACACCTCGTTCTTCTAACCCTAACCCTACCCTGGTGGACACCATAACCCTAACATAGGGCTAAAGTTCCATTGAAAAGAGGACGATTTTAAAAAAGCCTTCCTTGAGTAGCTGTTTCTGCACAGCTCATCATTTCTACATATTGTGAAATGCACCACTGACTCTTAAGACCTTGCAAAGATGACAGAACTTGGTATAGCTCACAAGTTACTTCTCAAAAAGAATTCCTGTCTTGAAAATCCCCTTTGACACTTTTATGTATTGTGGTTCTTCAGATCTTTGGAGAACACATCAAAAGGTTGCAGTTATTTTTTCTGCTCGAAGAATAATCTGATGTCACAGTGCATTCTCCTCAACTCCAGACAGAGTGACTTGGTGGGCAGGCAGCATTCGTGCTATTTTTACCTTCCGATGATTGTCTGGATACATTATGCATCTCACCATGTTTGCACAATTGTCCTTATTTTAGGTACCCTGGAATTGAACTAATGTCTGTGAAGGAAGAGCAGGTTTTTTCTAAAATACTTGCTCCCCAAACATTACAAGCATTCCTCAATGATTCTGGTTTCATTTTGCTCTGAATTGCTCTTTAAATGGTCATGGTTAGGGATGTCTTTGCACATCACGGGCCGGCTTGTCCTGCCTTTCAGAGCTGTGCAGGCAGTGGTGTAGAGTTGCAGGAGTTTGTGTATTTGATACTCTGTATGGGTGCTGCATGAGAGCATCTCCACAGAGTGCTTTCTGCCCTCTGAGTAACGGAATCGGCCATAGGACATGCAAAACGCTGCATGTGGCAAGCCAGCTGAATTCTGTAGCCTCTGATAGTGCCGAAAAAGTGTGGAACATCTTTCAATGACCTCAGTTACCTCTTGGTAAGCACAAACTTTTCAGGGAGAGAACATGCATTAAAGTGGCTAAATTAGTTTCCCTTTGGAGGGAGGCTGCTCTTGAATACCGAATGGTTTTGGCTATGGAGGTCCAGGTTGCCGCTGGCTGATTGGCTAGAAAGGACATGCCCTCTGCATGTGCTTAGGGGCATTTTTACCAATTTTACCCATTTTCCCATTAGTCCTGCTGGCTAATGGGAATCTTTTTTGGCTTCTAAGACTGGACATCGTTCGTGGACCACTGTGGTGAAATAATACCTTCTCTCACACCAGTTCCTTGTACAAATATTAAAAGAGTGTTTTTTTATGCAGCTAGCTATATTCTTGCTTGGGAGCCTTGTTTTCTTGGAAGTCTACTAAGCTGATTTTTAAATTTTATTTATGAGAACACTGTTACAGCACCTTTTGGCCCTAAAAGAGTGCTCGGGGTGGCAGGGAAAAAACTATACCCAGAACCATTAAGACTAAAAGTCAGAATGAAAATAGCAAGGTTAAAATATGCTAAAGGTCTCCTGGAATAAAAATGTCTTAACTTCCCATCTAAAAGAGTGGGGAGGTCAACTTTCATTCTTCTCTAATATTTCTGAAATTCTTTTCTAATTAAGCACAGGGCAGCAAAAAGGCGTAGCCGGCCAAGGTTCAGCCATACCGCATGTTCCCCCTACTTCCTCCAAAATGTCACCATCTGTAGCTTAAAACATGATCAAATCTTAGAAGAAGCAGACTGTTCATTTCCCGAAAGAAATGGGCAGTGCAAAGCTTAACGTAGTGTCACTGCTGGGAAATTTCAGATCTTTCTGACAATTCTGAATCATCTTCTAGAATTGCAATAAGCCTAAAAATGTTTTTCTTGTATGAGTAAGTGTGTCCTTTTGCCATATAACTTCTCTGCTCCATACACACACTTGCAACACAACCTTGGACAACTTCATTTGGTGAGTGGCTGCTGCTCCTCTGGATATGCGTAATTTGACTTTGTCTGTATTGCTTCAGTATTGCTTTAATTCTTCTGAACTTGCTCTATAATTTTTAACAGCTACTATTTAACAGGAGCATAACTATTTCTTTAACCAAAACAAAATGAAAAATTTAATTGCATAGTGATTTTTAGTGGTGGTGGCTGTTTCTTCTCAAAAAAACAAAATAAACTTGTACAGCTTTGAACAAAGCACTTTGTATCTATACCATGTGCGTATTAAAACCTGGTGGGCCCTTATTAATGATTTCTATCTCATTAAAATCAAGTGAATAACAAGTATCTCTGTATGAATATTGTGATTTTCATACTATTTCTTACTGTATATGGTTATCTTTAAAAAAGAAGAACAATTTTGGAAAGCATAACCTTGACCTTTGACTATTTCATACGGGCTATTTTAAAAATGATACTGCAAAATAAAGGCTTTCTTATTGTCCTAGTGCCCATTACCTATTTTAGATTTTATCACAAAAAAGTGGCTATTAGAAAAGAGTAGCAATGCACATCAAATTCTCATTTCTCAATTCTGTACCAAAGCATCAAAGGCTCATTGTGTAGAAAGGAAAAATGCTTTTAACAGAAATCTCTTAATTAGAACAAAGAAACTAATTGAGTTCTACAGTCACATTATACATAAGTGTTTGAAAGCAGAAATATTACTGTTGGTGTCTGGAGCAGTTGAATGAACCTTCTGGTCTAGACAGTTGGAATTCTGATGAGTAAGTTCCTAAGTCGTTAAAAAATGAGCTGACTCAGATCAGGATATTTCAGCAGGGACAAGGAAATGAAATTGCCATGCAACAAACACAGTGATGGCTATTAAGTTATTTTCAGGTGGAGGTCTGTGTGCATTTTTGTGTGATACTGGCTCTGTGTCCATTCCCCTCTTCATACTCTCACTTTCCTCCTGTTCATTCTCTCTCTGTCCTTCCTGAACACATGCACACATTCATAACGCATGAGGAGAGTTTGTTACTCATACGCACTGTGCACACCCTACTCATGCCATGCGACTTTCCACATTTTTGCTGCATAGTGTCTTTGCTACACATCTTTGCTACACATCTTCTCCCCAGTCAAACATCTGCTCATTTATCCTGACAGTTTGTATGCCATCACTTTGATTTCCTTTTGAGGTTTTTGAGCAGCTAGAGTATTTCCAATATTGTGCAAGACTGATGCCACTCTTCCGAGGGTGGAGTCTCAGTTCCAGTCTTGGAAGGCATTTCCATGGTCAGAGCTGGGACATCCTTAAACTGCCAACATACCAGATGGCAACTTTCAGATTAAGCAAATTTTGCAGGCTCAGTGCTTAGAGTAGATCTGGTGCTCCTGTTGAGCAATGCACTCTTCCTGTACGTTCTGAGTTCTTCTTTGAGGCCTCTTACAATATTTATTGTGTCAAATGGGATGGAATTCTATTGATACGCAAAACTTGATGAAGAAACGTTGCTACTCAACATTAAAAGTTACTTAATTTTGCTTAAAATCTCTTTAAATCTAGAGTCATCTTGCTGTCCATTGAATTTACTTCTGAAGTCCACATTTCTTTTGGAAATAACGTAAGTACTTGTGTTTAACCTACTGACACACATTGTGAATTGTCCTCTTTCAAGATTTGTTTGCTTAAAGCTCCTCCATCTAAAATATGCAACATTCTGTATAGCCTGTTATGAAAGCAGCTTTGCAGAAGTTAACTCCTGCTTAGAAAAGTACCCTAAAATGCAGCCTCTGTCTTTCCAGTGTGACAACTGTAGTGTAAATATGGGTGTGGCGTATTCATCCCCTTTGTGTCATTGTGCACCACAGTAGCTCAGCTTTTGTTTCTTCACGGCGTGTGCCACACACAAGTTGCAGCCCTTTGTATGATCGGTCCCTGATCAAGTCGATCAGAGGTTGTTGTGTGATGTTCAAACGCAGGCGCACGACCTGCATTTAAACGACCGAGAACCAATTGCATGTGAGCAGGGCCTTCCCCTTTCATGGATCCCATGACCAGCCCCTTTGTTGTTGAGTGTGGCCTCTTAACCTGGACTGATGGGTTGTTTAGTCCCTAATCAATTGTTCTAACAAACCTTTGCGAACTCCAGGCAGATCTGCCTATGTCAGAAACAGAAAATAAGGAAAACTGTTCAGTGATATCACGCGGGACCACCCAACCCCCTTTCCCAGTCCAGCTCTCCTCTATCCAGGGCTGCTTCTCCCAAGGGGGCAGCTTTGTATTCACACTGCTGTGCGATGCATAGCCGGTTCTGGGTCTCTGTGTTACTGCATGCTCTTGCCTTTCGGTCTGACTTCAGGCACTACCTTTTTCAGCTCTGTTTTATGTCACGCGGTATTGCAACAGTATAACTCGCTAGAGCTTAAACTGTGGTATAAACATTTCTGTCTGTGTGTGTTTATGTGCAAGTTACTTTTGCTAGACTATTGGAATAACTACAGAAAAATCATCAGTGACATTTAGGGAAAAGACTAAGACAAAACAATGTCATTTACTCGTAAGGGCCGGGACGTAGGTTTCAAGCCTCATTATTTGCCATTTGCTTCTTCAACTTGTTATTAATTATTGCTTCTCCTGTACTGAACAGTTTTAAAACTGCTATCCACCTTGCATGTTTGTATGAAAAGGGTGAGATAGACATTTTAAAGCAATTATGCTAGACAAAGGTGACCAACACAGAAGAAGACGGGACCCTCACTTGTTTTGATAACTGTGTAGAACACAGAATGGCCTGGTTTGCAAGCAACAATTCTAAGTGCGGGTTGTTGTTGAACTGTGGGTTGTGTTAAGACCTGCATTCTGGTTGTGGATGGCTAGCCATAAACAACCCAGAGTTCACAATCCAGCAATAAGCCATGGATTCTCTTCCTGGGTCGTATCTTTGCCTTTGGTCCTGCCCAATAGTGGATTGCAAAGCCCAAGGGCTTCTCCAATTTGGAGAGTTTGGATTTTGAGCCGAAAGAGGCATGACGGTCCTTCGCAAAGGTAAATGGCTTGTTTTCATTGACTTGGCCGCTGGACCAAGATGACGTTACAAGAGAGGCCAGGGAAGGATGTTGCAGCAGTTGCTGTGATAGCGCAGTACTTTGTCCTGCCAAGGAATCCGAAGTTAGTATCCAGTAAACACTGAACTGATGTAGCTTTTGAAAGTCATAAACAACCCTGCTAAGTCTCTCTTAGCTCTGACACAAATATTTAAAGAAAAAGCTATGATACTTTGGCTGCATGATGTAATGCTTATATTGCTCAACTAGATTAAAAGTATAATATTTAAAGAAGAGAGAACTTCTCGAAATCTTTAAAATATTTGAATTGAGCTAAGAGACTTGGAACAAATATTTATTTCCTTGTTAGTCTCTTAAAAACAGTTGTAGTGTAGGTTGCGTTCCTTCAGCCTTAACTGTCTGGCCACATTTTAGGATGAAACCAAGAAAGGAAGCTAACAATCTGTTACTAATTTTTTCCCTGCTCTCTTATACCTGTGATCTTCAGCCACCAAGTATGTGCTGCTGCTGACTTCCAAGCCCTTCTAACATTTAAGCAATAATTCTAAAACTGAGCCATCTAAACCCTGATCTTGCTTTTTGTGTGTTGCTGCTGCTGCTGCTGCTTCTGCTTTTGCCTTGAAAAAAAAACCTTGGACGCTCCAAAGGACAGGAGACAAATAGACTTTAGAAGAAAAAGCAAGTAATCCATTATGAATTTTAAGCTAAGACTACGGATCGTTCTGTTGTTCCCTGTGTACTTCTTAATTAATGTGTACAGTGCCCTTGCATTCATACCATGGTATTTTCTTACCAATGCGAAGAAGAAAAAAGCTATGGCAAAGCGCTTAAAAGCTAAGCCCATCTTGGACAAGCCTGGAAGCCCCTACCGAGCCATTTCACATTTTGAGTCATTAGCCACCATAGACTTTCCTGGAGCAGATACTCTGGATAAATTGTTTGACCATGCTGTAGCGAAGTTTGGGAAGAAGGATTGTCTTGGAACAAGAGAGATCCTGAGTGAAGAGAATGAAATACAGCCCCATGGGAAAGTATTTAAAAAGGTAATGACTTCTACTAATGTTCGCATTTTTATGCATAAAGGAATGTGGGGAGTACTGACAATTTGAATCTTCAGGGTATGGATTCCAGTGAACTAGCTGCAGTAATAAAAATAACAAGGAAACATACGGCGGTCCTTGTTCATAGAAGTTTATTTCCCTGTGCCACTGTTGATTGTTGCACAGTGGTAATAATTGAACACTAATTTCAAAAGGCACTGCCCTGTCTTACTTTCCCATTCAAATATAGGTGGGGGGAAGGTTAGAATGCTTAACAGAATTCCTATAGCATCTGGTCTAATATCAGATTATCAGTCCATCCGTGACATCCATATTGGATCTTTCCCTGTCCGTGCTTATGAAAAATAGGGAAGGGACAGCTAGCAGGGAGGTGTCGGTTTTCTCCTTGCAAAAGGAAGTGGTTCTACGCCACTGGAAATCGGCAGTGGTGAGGCCACTCCTGAAGAAGGTAGATTATCTGCCTTACCTCTGGACCAGCGTTTCCTTAAGGATGATTACAGTGTTCAGAGTTGCATACTTGTTTGGCCTTGTTGGTTTGGGCCTTGTTTTTGATAATGCAACAGTATTAAGCCAGTACGTATTTCCTGTCTGAACAGCTAATCCTAGGAAACTATCAATGGCTTAACTATGAAGAAACTAACCAGAAAGTGAACCACTTTGGCAGTGGACTAGTTGCACTTGGGCTAAAACCAAAGGTCACAGTTGCTATATTCTGTGAGACGAGAGCTGAATGGATGATCGCAGCACAAGCCTGCTTCCGGTTTAACTTTCCTCGTGAGTAGCCAGGTTTTCTTTTAACACAAATACGCAAGTTCATAGAGAAAAGAGGCGGTGCTCCCAAATGTGCCATGTTCTCGGTGCAACATTGTCACCAAGTTGTGAGAGAATCTATGGTTCTTCAGCACTGGGGTCCGCGTGGGTTTCTCTGTGATGTTTCTGCATGGTGCTCAAATGTATACAAGATTGTTGTTGTCAGTCGCGAAGTCGCGTCTGACCCATCGCAACCCCATGGACAACATTCCTCTAGGCCTTCCTGTCCTTCACCATCCCCCGGGGTCCATTTAAGCTCACACCAACTGCCTCAGTGACTCCCATCTAGCCACCTCATCCTCTGCCGTCCCCTTCTCCTTTTCCCGTCAACTGTTCCCAGCATTAGGCTCTTCTCCAGGGAGTCCTTCCTTCTCATTAGGTGGCCTAAGTATTTAAGTTTCATCTTCAGTATCTGGCCTTCTAAAGAGCAGTCAGGGTTGATCTCCTCTAGGACTGACTGGTTTGATCGCCTTGCAGTCCAAGGGACTCGCAGGAGTCTCCTCCAGCATCACAATTCAAGATAGGAAGAGTGAAATAGCCATAATGAATGTGAATAAAGTGAGTGGGTCCTGATAAGAAAACATCAAACCCACGCACTTGATGACTAGACAGATCAGTAAGTAAGTGGGTAGACATTCTGCTTCCCTTAACCGTTGGTTTGAGAAAACTGTATTGCTGGATACAGGTAAATACTTAGTCCTCTGCCTTAAGATAAGGAGTTCCATCTTTTCCTCTTTGGAGTGACCTAATTAAGTTAACTTTCACCTCTTCAGCCATCTCAGCTCCTCCATGATTCCCTCTTCATGTAATTTCAGTAATCCTTGGAATAATCGATATTTCATGTGCCACTGGAGTTAACACTAAAAATATGTGAAGCAAAACAGTCACGGAAAACCTGTATGCTTTTAGTTATGTCTCACTGAAATAATTACTGGTGATAAATTCTATGCCAGTGCAAAGTATTTGGAGTAGCTTTGATCCTTCAGTCTATTTTCTTCTTTCAAATAGTGGTTACATTGTACGCAACCCTTGGGGAAGAAGCAGTCGCCTACGGACTGAATGAATCTGGAGCATCGTACCTAATCACAAGTGTAGACCTTCTAGAAAGCAAACTTAAGGTAATTACTGACCTGGTATCTTTGCTTGGTCAACGTGGTAGCGGATGATGGTGCGGTCGGTTCAAGAGCACAGTGTACCCAGATGACCCAGTGCAGTAGTGACGCCTCATGTAAGAAATCACTCCAGCCATAAGCTGAAATTTTTCAGACGGCAGAGACTCGCAGTAATTTGCATCAGCAATAACTTGCTTTATTACAGTAAGTTACCACTGTTAAAGCGTTTTGAAAATCCTGAGAAATGACCCCAAAGAGGCATTATCTTGCCCGATAGCGATCATTTGTGCACTAAATTTGGAAATGCAAAGCACAAAGAAAACATTCTTGAAGCTCATCAACCTTTCCTGGAACTCCCTTTTCTCTGAAGGTTGTTGCGAACTTAGCATGAACTTGTATGAAAGATCTTTTCTTCCGGGTGGGTTTGGATCCCCAACAACGGGGGGAATATATTCATAGAGCCTTGTCAATAGCCTGATCCTTCATGATGGGGGAGACGTATCCAACATAATGGGCTGTATTCTGAGAACTTGGATGACAGCCTGTGCAGTAAGGTCTCTGCTTCTTGTTCAGAATGTACTGTCCGAAATCCCTTGCCTCCGACATATCATTTACGTGGATAAGAGAACTATCAATACGGCAGACTATCCCAAAGGAATGGAGATCCACAGCATGGAAGCAGTAGAGGAATTGGGAGTCAGACCAGAGAACTGTAAGTGAACTGGCTGAGAGGTTGCACAGCTGTCGGGATGCAAAGAAATAGCACATTCTTCTGTGTAGTAAACAGAGCTGTACATAAACAGCAAGCCGACTTGGGGCTTAGTACAGTTGTCCAGGGGTGGAAAGATACGCTTCCTGCGCAGCACAGCAAAACTGAACTGCCTGCTCTGACAGCAGCTGGCCAGGCCATCACATTATTGGTGATGCCGTATTTCCTGCTGAACCTCAGCGGGCTCTCAAACAGTTTACATCGTGCCACATACCCTTCCCCAAGCCTTTCTGTCCCTAAAAATAGTAATTTGCTTCCTCTGTCACATTCACTGAAATATATGGGCTGAACAGAAGAATGGAGACAACCAAAATATCCATGCCCTAGTCTGCAAGGTAGAGAGACCAAAAGTGATCACGCTTATTTTCTTGCTGGACAAGACTGGCTCCCGATGTAGAGTATATCTGTCTGTTTTATTTCCCTTTGTGTGCTGATGTGTAATTTTTTGCCTCCACGTCTCTTGCTAGTAAACATCCCTCCATCTCGGCCTTCGCCGACAGACATGGCCTTAGTAATGTACACCAGTGGTTCCACGGGAAGGCCCAAAGGAGTGATGATGATGCACAAAAACTTGATAGCTGGAATGACAGGACAGTGTGAGCGAATCCCTGGACTGGGGTAAGATGCATGTTAAAACATTTTCGCGACTTTCGTGCTTGCCCATCTGCGGTCCCTGTTGTGCAGTCCTGCTTTCTCCCAGCGGAGGGCAATGGCGCCCAGGGGGCTTCTACCCATCGCCAGATTTCGCACCCCCTGCCCCACATACGCACACTGGGTCCCCCAGGGCTGCTCAGAGCTGGATGGACATGATTAGAGGGTGGGGGGCAGAGCTTGGGGAGACGGTAGGAGCCCGACCTTCCTCTCCCACACCAGGCCGCAATTCGTGTGGGTCTGGGCCAGGTGGACACCCTTGATGCGTTCTGCCATTGCTGAATGGCAAGCAGGGACGGGGGGCAGGCAAGCTCAGCCTGAGCCCTTCTGCCCCATCGCCAGCCATTCTTCCCTAACTTGCTCTCACCGTCAACATTTGGTCCTCTGCAGGTGACAAACAAGGGTGTGCTCTGTGGCTGTATAAATATTTATCCGGGACTTAAAAGTGTAATCCTGTGTACACTAACTTTGGAGGAAGTGCCACTGAACTCACTGGGGCTTTCTTCAGAGTCAAGGTGCATAGACTCCCCCTTTTTAAAGTGTTCATTGAACATGAATTAAAAAGGGTTGCACAGGATAATGCTCTGGGAAATTTGCCAAAGTCGTGTTCCTCGCTTAGAAAATGTCGCTGATGGATCCTTGTGCTGTTTACTCACAACATTGTTTCAGCTTTGAACCGTGAACAAGTCGATTTCCAAGGTTTTTCCTGTGCAGCACTAGCATTGCAGTGGGTGACTTTGCTGCTGCTTTTTCTGCTAAAGTGCCTCCCTCAGTCTGGCAAGGGAGGCCGAGAGTAGCAGTTCTACTTGCCAAGGAGTAGAAAACCCCTTTCAAAACAGAGGCCCGCCACTTCATCGCCCCTGCATGAGGCGTGTGGCCAGGCAAGAGGAGCATTGGTGCAGGTGATGCTTCGGTTGACGGCGTATGGCCTGAGGCTAACATGAATGCACCAGCTCAACATGGGGAGGGGAAGGGTTCCTTTTTTGACTCATGGAAGACTACTGGGGAGGAAGGAAGAAAAAAGAGCCAGATTAAAAAAGAAAGAAGATTGAAATGAAAACAAAGCCACTCCCTTTTTTTTAGCTCGAAGTCCACCAGCTCAAGAGAACACCCTGTTTAGAAAATAAGTGACCATCACTAGGTTAATGTAGTGAAAGGGGCGTGTCCAAGAGCCTGTCGCTCACAGCCCTGCTTTCCAAGGGGTCACTTGCTGAGCGATCAGCCTGGTTAGGACGACACGGCACCACCTTGCCTTCAGTTCATGAGAAAAGCCTTGAGAGAGCAAACCGTTCCATTTGCTTGCTTAGAATAATGTACTAAGGTATACTGCTTGCTTTATTGAAGGGGTTCATTTGTTCCCTTTAGGCCCAAGGACACGTATATCGGCTACCTGCCTCTGGCTCATGTATTAGAACTGACAGCAGAAATTTCCTGTCTTACATATGGCTGCAGGATCGGATACTCCTCCCCACTCACACTCTCCGACCAGGTAAAAGAGCCGTTGAGCAGTCCTGCTGGCTGTTGAATGCCTTTCCAGCCCCGGCAGTTTACAGTAAAAGCTGGACAGCGTGTTAAGCCGGTGCTGGGCTCGTCACACTGAAATAAGCTCGGCCCAGGAGTGACTTACCCAGAAGAGTATAATGAACACACGCAGCTTCGAAACACATATCGAAACATTTCTCTGTGGGACTCCCTGCATGCACAGTTCCCCCATCCCCGGAGTCCGCATTGGTGTTCCTTTTGCAAGAAAGTCCAAACAGTTGTGGCCACTGTAGCAAGTCAGTTGACCCGAAGGCAACACCCTGTGTTGAATGTAATCCTTATCATGGCAAACATTGCCACCAGCTGCATGCTTTCTGTGTGCTGTGCCAAGTAATTTTTCACACTTCTGGCAAAAAGAACCAAATTTAAAGGAAGGTTCGCTTCTTCTTTCTCTTGCAGTCAAGTAAAATTAAGAAGGGCAGCAAAGGAGATTGTTCTGTTCTGAAACCCACATTGATGGCAGCTGTTCCTGTAAGTATGGGTGGGGATGCTTTGTCTTCCGTGGAGGAAAATGACTTTGGCTGGATGGGAGCCGTTTTCTTTAGATGTGCAAAAGTACCTTCCCAAATCAGTGAAATCTTGAATCTTCGAGTCGCACGTTCTAGAAATATGTTTCCTTTCACAGATCTTGAGTACAAGTAACCAAAGTTGTGTATATGTATTTAAGATAGTAACTTCCTTTAATGTAAACAGTGGAGAGTTTACATAGCTGGCGACTGCTTCTCTGTACAGTGTGCTAGGAAGCCTGTCCCCTCCCCATTCTCAACAACAGATCCACCTTTAATTCAGTGTATGGTAGCCTGCTATAGAAATGCCCAACTTGTGGACATTTCTTGCAGTTTAGCAAACACAACCGGGCTCTTAAGAGCCTCTTTCATACAGCAACAGTTTCATGACTACCTGATAGTTATAACTCATTAAGTTAGTAGTGGTTACCTTTTGAAAATGAAAGTAAGTGCTGGCAGAATGAGAAAACAGACCTTGAACCTTCAAGGAAGAATGGTAGAAGCTGCCATAATTATACTTAATTATTCAAAAGCACCTTGCAACATGCACACAGCTACTGAAATAGCGTATCTGAGAGAGAGGGAAAAGCTAGGAGTGGGGAAAGCTGATGTTTTCCCATTGCGCATGCCACTTGGTGCCTGCGCAGAATAGCCCCCAGCTGAGATTCACCACAAGTAGATTAACTAGATTACACATTAAGGGTTATGCAACTAAGGAAAAAATGAGCTATTTAACGTGAGTGGGGCGTTCCTTCCAGTTCCCCTCGGCCAGTCTGGGCTGAGCTGGTATAAACCAGATCAGAAAAGTTAGTGTACTTCAACTCACTGGCCTCCTTTCTGAATCTTCCTTGTAGGAAATCATGGATCGAATTTATAAGAATGTTATGAGTAAAGTTCAAGAGATGAATTACATCCAGAAGACATTGTTCAAGATAGGCTATGACTATAAATTGGAACAAATCAAAAGAGGATATGATGCACCTCTGTGTAACTTGTAAGTAAACTTCATCTGCCATTTGAAGAATGCCTTCAGCTTTGCTAGATACAACAATGTTCTGTGCTGGAACTCAACCATACCTGTAAGAGAGGAAGCAAAATATTTTATTCTGTAGCCATTTTACCAAAGTTCAGCGGGCTTCAGTTGAAGGCCTTCAGATCTAAGTGTGTGTGTTCGGATTGGAACCCGTTGATCTATTGCTGGTCTGAACACAGTCGTCATCTTTGGGCTCAGCACTAATAGGCCTTGAAACAGTTCAAAAGAAATAGATACTCAGCTCATCCTGCAGCAAAAGTTACAGCCCAACACAGGGCACGAACTGGCCATCTTATGCATCTAGCAAGCAGGGCACTTCTGTGGTATTAATGCTAATTTCCTTTTCTTCAAGGCTATTGTTTAAGAAAGTGAAAGCACTGCTAGGAGGGAATATACGCATGATGCTTTCAGGAGGGGCACCCCTTTCACCACAGACACAAAGATTCATGAATATCTGTTTCTGCTGCCCTGTTGGCCAAGGTTATGGGCTCACAGAAACCTGTGGAGCCGGGACAATTACAGAAGGTAAGGGCTCGCCTCCTTCTCATGTCCTTCTCTGGGAGGGCTGCCTGGTGTTGAGCTGAACACTTGACCTGTGAACGGTCTGGCACTGGCAGCTCTCTCGGATCTCTCTGGTTTAATGTTTGTTTGTTTGTTTAGCAAGGCGAGACCCTATTAGCCCTCACCTCTTACTCCTTTCTGATATGTTCCCTTTAGTCTGTGACTACAGCACTGGAAGAGTAGGAGCACCTCTCATCTGCTGTGAGATTAAACTTCGAGACTGGCAAGAAGGTGAGGGATCATTATGTTTCCAGTAACTTAACAGCAACCGTTTCCATGTCTGAACTATTAATACATCAACATTACAGTTCCTTGGGAGTAAGTCCCATTAAAGGCAGCAGGACTTACTTTTCAGTAAACATGTGCAGGCCAGGGTGAAATTTGTCACTCTCATTTCCATGATGCCATAGGCTCAAAAATCTTGATATAAACATTTTTGGGAGTGTTTGGTGGTGTTTCGCTGTTCCTATGAACACTGTTGCTTGATTCCATTAAGGATGATTTTACATTCTATTACTTCATTATTTTCTTCCACTTATTTTGTAATGATTCTGGGAAAGGCAAGAGCTGTCGCTCAGAATATTCACCAATTATTTTATTCATGAATTACTTCCTCAGGAGGTTATACCAGTAGAGACCAGCCAAACCCTCGGGGGGAGATTATAATTGGTGGACCTAATGTCTCCATGGGATACTTTAGAAACGAAGAGAAGACGGCAGAAGATTTCCTTGTGGACGAAAGCGGTCAGCGATGGTTTTGCACCGGAGACATCGGCGAATTTCACCCAGATGGCTGCCTACAAATCATCGGTAGTTGCTGCTTCTTGCAATTTAGTAAACTCCATCTACAAGCGCGATATGCATTTCCTTCTGTTCTTAACGTTCTGGGAGTGTGCTGAATTATGACCATGACTTGCTTTGCAAAGGAAGTTCCATTAACAGAAGTTGTAATTTGCCTTTATGACAGCCGCTTCCTTGATGGTTTTTCTTTGAATGGCAGGCTGTCCCTGCCATTTTTAAGACTTCGAATGATACCCTGTGTAAATGATATAAACTTTTTTCAAATGTCTGGTGTATATACTGAACCTTGCTCTTGCAAGCATGTCACAAGTGGAAGGTTATTTTATGTGAGAGCTTCACTGATTGCAACAGGACTTACTTCTGAGTAAAGTTGCTTTGGGGGAAATTGCATGCGCTCTAAGTGATGTTGCCCAATTATTCCCCCAGATCGTAAGAAAGATTTGGTGAAGTTGCAAGCAGGAGAATATGTATCCCTTGGCAAAGTTGAGGCAGCTCTGAAAAACTGTCCGCTTATAGACAATATCTGTGCTTATGCCAACAGGTAAGTTTGTGCCTATTCATTTGGTTTTTCTACACTCGATCTTCATGAGACTTTCACAAAATCAACTCACGTTGAACAAGTGAAATGGAATTTTATAGTGCCTGTCAGGGTTATTCATGCACCTCATTGGCTTTTCCACATTTTGTGGTGTCACTCCCTGGAATTTAAATGGATTTAATTGGCATGGTTAGCACTTGATGTACACAAGGTATTCAACTCCATGAAAAATATTTTTCTCTATATTTCACATTCAAAAGCAACATTCTGGGATTTTCTTTTCTTCTGCTTCTGTATAGAAACCGAGTAATCCACAATAAAGGGGTTATTGATCTATGTGCAACAGAAAACATGGAGCCATATCTTCCTTTAGTCATACTGACCTGTGGCTTCTGGAATTGTGTGTGCTAGAGAGGTTACTTGCACCTCATTTCTGCGCAGACAGAGAAGCAAATTTCACAATGCCTTGGCCATGCATCGAATCCGGTCTCTAAATCTCTGCAGGGCTTGCAGTTGCTTCTGCTTAAAGCCCAACCCAGGAACTGAATAGTGTTCCCTTGTGTTCTCTTTTAGTGACCAGTCTTACGTCATCAGTTTTGTTGTTCCCAATCCGAAGAAACTGACTGATCTTGCGGAACAGAAGGGTGTGGCTGGCAACTGGGCAGACATCTGCAACAACCCGATCATGGAATCAGAAGTGCTGAAAGAGATTAAAGCGATGGCTAATAAAAGTAAGGAAAGGGCAGCTTCTGTGTCCCACTGTATTGCGAGATGCCCCCGAGACAGGCAACAGAACGTTGCAGCGGATTCTCACCCACACAGTTGAAGTCCTCCAGCACCCGGCTGTCACAGCAGGCCTGCACAGCCATTCCCCAGCTGACTCCAGCCTGCTGGGTTCCCCAGGCCGGATGCAGAACCTGCTGTGCTCCCTCCACCAGCACTCACCCTCCTGGCAGGGAATCCCCAGCTACTGCCAGTCTGAGTTACCTCGCTCAGCAGGTGGAGGGCCCCGTGTGAAGCCAGGGACCTCCCAGCCTCGGGAAAACCAGCTGCCTGTCCTCATTGCTTGGCCCATAGAGGGTGTGGGGAGCTACCTGGCCCCTTGCCTCAGCATCTTTCTGAATCCCTGCGCTGAGCGTGTAAGTACATCCCCCCATAGCTTTCCTGTGGAGCTGTGGCTCTTCTACTGAGCATGTGGGCTTTGCACAGGAAGGCAGTCATGATGAGCTAGACAGCCATCTGCGAGGGGCTGGCCCAGTGGCCTTCTGGAACCCTTTCAGCCTCTTGGGCAGGCCTTCCTTGGCTATTTGGTAATAGGGTGTCTGCCCTTCTTTTGCGTGTGTTTGGTTTCTGGGCACACCCAGGCAGTCCCTGCACATGCTGACATCTCCGCATTGCTTCCCGGCTGCCCTGCTTTCGCTCCCGTTCTGTTAGCAAGACTGCGCTGAATTCACATTTCAGGATAAGTGACCCTCCCACGTTTAGAAATCCCTTGAATAATATATAATACCACGAGTCACAGAAATGTCGCTGCTTTTTGCTGTTTTGGCTACTTTCAGCTGAATGAGGGATGGGTTGAGTGGGATATGCTGACTCAAGTGTTGTCTCCCGGGATCCAGTCTCCCCGCAACTTTCTGCATTTCATTTTAAGGCAGTGGATAAACAAATTGCAGTTGTGGGGAGGCATTCTGCTGCCCAGGACTGCCTTGTTCTCCATTCCCAAGAGTCCAACCCGCTTGGACTGGAATTCCTGCTCGCGCAGGGCACATGCCGAGTGCGTAGCTCTCCAGCCGCTGAAATGTGCTGGTGCTGGTCCTTTATGATGCAAGCCATGGTGGGTGTCGGTTACACTGCAGTCTAGAGTAGCAAGACTGTTTGTCCAGGAAATTCCAGTAGCACCAAGCGAATTCCAGTTTTAGGGATCTGGGAAAAGCCCGGCCCTGAGGGGTCAAGGCAGGAATGGCTCTCAGCTGGGAGAGAGGTTTTCCTTTGCAGTGGTTCTCCTGAAAGGGGCAGGAGTAACATCAGGTCACCCTCAGGCAAGCAGTGTCAAATGAGCTTTGTGGCTCTCCCGCCATCTACCGGCAGTTCTCTGCAGTGCACTGCTTCAGCAACATTCGCAGGGCAGTTGCCAAACCAGGTTAAAACAAAAACAAAACCGAATATTGCAAATAGTGAAGGCCCTATAAAATACCCATAAAAACAGTCCTGGATCAGCAGAACAGCACTCCTGACAGTGTGATGTACCCTGGAGGCGCATCTCTGCATGCAGAGTGAACATGGACCGCGCTTAAGCGTTGAGCAAAATTACATCTCCACATCAGTGTTAGAGGGAGATGTTTACAAACCCAGTCGGGTCTGAGCCGCTAAAACGTTCCATGAACATACCGTCCCTGCTTCCTAATCTCCCTCGTCATTCTCTCTCTCATATTGCCCCTGCAGTGAAACTGGAGAGATTTGAAGTACCAGTCAAAGTGCGTTTAAGCCCAGACCCGTGGACTCCAGAGACTGGCCTGGTCACAGATGCTTTCAAATTGAAAAGGAAAGAGCTGAAGAACCATTACCTCACTGACATTGAGCGAATGTATGGAGGCAAATAACCTCCCAAGCACCCCATGTCTGAAGCTCCGCAGCGTTCCTTCTGTGACTGAGTAACAAGTTCTCCAGAGGTTGCCTGCGATGAGAATGGAGAGCTGCAGTTTTGCAAAACTGGTGAAAGAAGGAATAGCTGTGCTGGCCTTCGTGACTACATTTCCAAGATGCTGTCAAAGTGACTGACCCACTGCCATCGTTTTACCAATCACCCCCGTGCTGACAGGCTGCGTTCACATGAATCCCCCTTACTGGATAATCCATTGTTTCTACCTTTCTGTTTGGCCTCCTCTTAACGCATAAGGAATTAGATCTTTTTTTCATTAAAAAGGAGGGGAAAATGCGTCTGATTGTAATGTATGCACTCTGGATGGAAAGAATAGGCAGAACCAAGCTGGTATCTTCCAAAATGCTGCTGAAAAATCTGCTATCTCAGGTCCTTAGCTAGAAGAAAACAGCGTCTTTTAACTTGACTGTCAATGGAGGCACTAAGAAACAGAGAGAGGAAGTGGCTCTCTTGAAATGGTACTTTCATGTAGCCAAAACTAGACAGACCCAAGTTGTGGGAATGTCTTTGCACCATATTCAGCAGAGATTCACTGCTAGTGATCAGTGAAATTTATTATTGCACATTTAATGTCACCTTAACTTCTGTCTTTACCTGACTATCATGCAGCTAGCCATAGTTCAGGCTGCTACCAGACATTTTGGCTACGTGGAAATACTTGGGAGAGACATCTGTGGTACTTTTGAGAGTATTAAGGGCCCAGTTTCTCCTTTTTACTCTGCCCTGAACTGTAAACGCAGCTTTAAAAGCTGGCATTGCTCTCCAGTATCTTCCACCCTTCACCGAGCACTGACCGCATCATTCCCTTGATTTAACTGGTCACCAGCTGCCGAATTTAATGTAGGGGCAAGGCAAGCCCTTTAAATGGGATCACCTACTCAGAGCAGGCCTGCTGACTAAGAGGGAACAAGTGCAGCTACAAGGAGAAGCAGAAGGCTGTAATCAGCATTCACTCGCATCCTGTCGGTTCCCAAACACTATCACTGCCACGAGGAGTCGTCCCCTACCCAAAAAGATTTAAAATCCTCTTTCAAAAGATGAAAAGTTAGTGACGGACTTTTGCCATCTCTTAACATGGCTCTGGCTTGTAATTGTAATGCTGGCAGCCATGAGTTTTTGGAAATGTCCTTGCACTAGCTTACGTCTTTTGAAATTGGTGGAGCTGATGTCCTTTGTGGTTGCTGTCTGCAGCGACTGTACTTCTCCAGGGTGACATTTTGGACCTCTGAAAGCTGTTCCTCCAAGCACATCCCCAGCAGGACCTGCTGAACCCCTTTCTTTAATGTTTTGTATTTCACTCCAAAAGGGCATTTCTCTTTATCTTTTAGTACATCCCATAAGACAAGTCACATGTAAAAACTGGTAATGTCTTATTTATGAACTTGGTCTTCAGGCACTTTTGTTGAATGAGCTTGTCTAAAAGGGAAGATACTGTACTTAAATCCTTTGTCTTTTTCTGTTTCTGAAAACGTGGAGTAAAAACTGGAAATTCTTGGTGTGCTGAGGAGAGACAGCGCTGCAGGGCTATTCTGAAGTTTGTGTTTTTGTGCACTGCCGTCAACAGAGCATCATTTATTCCCCTTTAAAGAAAAGGTGTGCTCTGGGCTTTATTGTGTCCAACAGCCACTCACGTTTGAGCCAGAAATATTGTAAGATGTGGCAATTTCTGATGCTGTCCTAGTTTGCACTTTTTCTTAATTTTTTTATATATGTTGCTTTCATTTTTGTACAGCTGTGGCCCTGGATTGCAATGTATTCTACTTTGACTTGGCTCTGAAGTATTTATAAAATAGATCTATCTTATTCATAATACGTATATGTATATTATGGTCAGAAAAAAGAATAATCTGTGTATTGTTTCTAAAGAATGAAGGGATTTTTGTATGAAATCTTGTTTCAGTACACAACAGTTTTAAATATAACTCGGGTAAGTGTTTCTTCTATGAAGTGTATGTGTGAGTCTGCCAACTTTCAAAGCAACACATCACTGACTCTGCCTATTGTTAAATCAATGAGCCATCATTCTGGCTGTCCTTAGGGACCAATGCTAATTTTTAATCCACAAGAGATACTTTACGTACCTTCTGACCATGCTTTTCAGCCAAATTTGCCCACTACCAACTCATCTGGTAGCGGTCCAAACCCATTAAATGCAGTCTGACTGCTGGGACCAGAAACATGCCACTTGGTGGTTCTTCATCCAACACATACACTTGTTTACATATACAGGAAATGCTTCCCCTACAATTATTGAATTGTTATTTTTCCCAATGAGCTCATGGCTGAGGCCTTTTACATTGAATATGTGATAAAATTGCTCTCTTATTTTGAAACAGATTTGCTGTTCTGACTTTGTCAAAGGCAAGTTGTGAATTGAAATTTGTGTAGAGTAAATGGCTCTACACAATAGCTTTGGGTTGGATGACAGCTTGTAGAATGCTTCTCTCTGGGCTACATCGTCCCTTGTGCTGGTGTACAGGTGGGCTTCACTGCCTAGCCCCATTTTCAGCTGCATGAAAGTATTTTCTAAAGAACTTTCCAATGCGGAATACAGCTTACCTGGTGCAGAAAATCGGTGTTCAAGCAATTTTGTTCTTCCACAGCTTATGTGGTCATTATGGCTTTGAGTTCTCCAGATATCCCCCTTGCAGGGTGGGGATACTTGCAGTTTTCCAGATATTCTTGGGCCTGGACTTTAGTCCCAGCCAGGATGGTCCATGAAGTTAGGAGTTGTCAACTAGCAACAGTTGGAGGTTCACAGGTTCTCCATCTCCAGATTGAATCTTTAAAGTTCATACGGCACATCACTTGGTTTTTCCATTAAAGACTCGGAATTATACAGCCCATGATACTTAAGTCTATGGTTGGACAAACATCTGTATGTTTCTAGCCTGCATTTTGCCATCCTAACAGGAACAAATGGATTACCATTCTTCCTGGGTGTTCACTTTCAAATATTCTAAATTTTTTCCAAAAGCTTTAGAAAGATGAATGAAGAATGTGAATTTTGCCTTTCAGAGAATCGAGGCGCTGGTACTAAACTTTCTTTTCCTGCCTATACTGACATCCTTCTAAGAGTCTGCTTTTTCTCACTGTGTGTTCATGTATAACTCCTAGCCTGGCTTGAGGGCTACGTCTAGAACTGGAATGCTGCAAGAGCTAGGAAGCAAGAGCCGACAGTACGCAGTCCCCCAAAAGCCAAAGTTATGGCTAGATGGTCCTTTCCCACTTGGGATAAAGCGCCAGGCACTCCTTGAAAAACTAGCTTGCAAAAAGTACAGCATTCAAGTTATTTTAGTACCACATCACAGAACTCTGGCTTTTCAGATGGAGTATCTCATAAACCAGGACTTCACAAAACATCTGTTAACTTCTTGGCTTCTCCCACCCGTCTAAGCATACACAGAATTGCACCACAAGTATTTTATCAAATCTGGATCAGCTTATGCAGAAGTAGCTTGCCTGTTTTAGAGCAAATGCTTGCGGAGAGCATAGAGGTCATTCTCTCTGGAACAACCAAGTTTTACCAATGAAACAGTTGCTTGGGAGCTGAATGGTGAGGAATTCCAATTGAAAAGGGAATTTTACACAACATGTAGTTCAACTGAAAGTTGGTATCACGAGATGGCGGGCAAATACATGGGAACAGGTTCTGCTCCCTCAGTTCCTATGGGGACCGTCATGGGTCTCCGGACCAAGGGGCAGGTTAAGGAGAAGTCCAGACCTGTTCCAGCCTCAAGGGGCCCCGGTGGGGCTGGAGGGTGGGTCTTGTGAATGCACTGATGACCACTCAAAGAATGACAGTTCCAGGAAAGCAAACTGCCTTTCAGCATGCCACAGTCATAGTTACCTTGCCTAAAATGGCATACAAGGCAGGGATGTAGCCAAGCCTGGAGGCAACGATAGGAGAAGCTCGAAGACATAACCCACCTGTGATGCCGGCCATTCCAGCTACGGAGGTGCCACTTCATAGGAGGTCCTGCAGCAGCAGAGAGCTTACCGGTGTCTCCGGAGTCCACTGTCCTGTTGTGGAGTCCCAAGAGTCCCATGGGACAAAGGCACCCACAGCAAGGTTTGGCTCCAGGGTGTAGCTTCTCCATGCAACAAACAGAGGTGCGGGATTGGATTTTATCATGGTGGACTGTCCTATTTGTGTGCTCTCTGCTGTTAACAACCAAATAAAAGCAAGCTGCTGGTGTCCAAGACGCATCTGAGTTACAGGACTGCTCGCATTGGTTGCAGGTGTAGGGGAACAGCTGCTGTCCTTCTAAACATCTTGTGGAATAGCAGGGTCTCTCTTTTTGCTCACGGCTTGCCCTGCTTTTTTGAGAGGCAAATATAGGCAATGTCTGCAGAGAGAAAATGTACAGCTGAAAAAATTGGAAGCTTTTGGAAGGGCGGAAACGGTGGCAAATAGTGATTTTTGGGGAGAAGAGGCAACCTGCCCTCGCCAGTCACGTGCCACAGTCCCAGTCTTGGGAGCCCTCTCCGCAGCTGCAGTTGTGAAAGGGAAAAGCCCATGCGCACCGAGTGCCGTATCCTCTGCATCTTCTTTCTGGAGCACCCCGTGCGAGAAACAGTCACACTCAGAGCCTTTTTTGGTCATCCTGCATTGCTGTCAGCACGGATAATCCCTGAGCTGGCTGATGGCTCCGGCTAGTTTCTTTTTTCCAGATGAGATACTTGCAACAAGTTCCAGACTTCAGATCTCCTCTCTCTGCTGTGTATGCCCAAAATAAAGAACGAGGGAGGAAGACTAAAGGAATATAAAGTGTACATCAAGACTTCTTCTGAAGGCTATTTAATGTTTGCAGGCATTTCGAGAGCTCTTCTTGCAGGTGCTTGGGAGGCGAGAGTCTGCTTTCTGGGGGTGCCTGCTTCCTGTCCCTCCCCTACTCAAAACTCGCAGCTTGTGGGAAGTGAAGGACTTAGACTGGAAAAACTGGGTGACAACTTCCTTTCCGCACAACTTCTGCTCCAGCCAAAATCAGCCTTGGGCTGGTACAAAGCAGTAATGCCTGTCCAGACATCGAGTCTCATGGAGCTGCTTGGAGGAACAGCTCCAAGCTGCAGGAAGCTGATCGGATCCTCCGTCCATTACTGCCAAAACGGCCTGGCAGCAGAGATGAAGAGGACCTTCCTGCGGATGCTGGGGACTGAACCCGGGACTTCCGACTCTTCGCATGAGCCACGGAATAGCGGAGGTTTCCCACGGAGGCTGTTCTGATTCTGTACTCCGCCTTCTGCCACAAGCTGCGCCCAAGCAGAAATGGCAACCCCAACTTGGGGCAGAGCCATTGGTAGGGAGCGAACGGGGCACGGGCATCCCGAACCCCACGATCAGCGCCCGCCGCCCCTCCTCCGAGCCACGGGACGCGCGCGTCGCGGAGGCGCGCCGCACCTTTCCTCCACGGAACCGGGCACGGCGACGGGGCGCGCTGCGCTGGGCTGGGCTGGGCGGAGAGCGGGCAGCGCAGCATTTCCACTTAAGGCGCCAAACGCCTCGCAGAGGCGGAGAGACGACTCCGCGCAGAAATGTGGGTGGGTGGGCAGCCCCGCGCAGGAAGCCGAGGAGGGCGCCCGGGGGACGGAGCGGCGCGGCCGGGCGCCCCCAGCCTCGTGGCGGAGAGGCTGCAGCGCCGCGTCCCGCAGAGCCCGGCAGGCGGCGCGGCGCGGCGAGCGCGAAGGGCCGAGGGCACAGCCGGGCGCGCCCCGATGAACTGCAGCGAGGCCCTCCGGATACAGCGCCTCCTGGACTGGGCGATGCAGGAGCTGCGCGGCGGCGGCGCGGGGCCCGTGCCCGGCGCGCCCTCCCTGGCGCCGCCGCCGCC